GGTTGATCTGAGCAAAATGAAGTCTTTGACAACTTTAATCTTTCTCCATTGATAAGAATGTTGTTTACTGCTCCAGTGGTGAGGATTTTTGCTTTCTTTATATTGAGATGCAATCCATGCCGAAGGCTGTGGTCTTTGTAAGTAAGTAAATAAGTATATTAAGTCTTCATCAGTAAGCATTTTAAGTCCTCTTCACTTTCAGAAAGCAAGGTTGTATCATCTGCATATTGCAGGTTGTTAATGAGTCTTCTTCCAATCCTGATGCCACGGTTTTCTTCATATAACTCAGTTACTCGGATTATCTGCTTAGCATACAGACTGAATAAGTATGGTGAAAGAATACAACCCTGTCGCACACCTTTCCTAAATTTAAACTACTCGATGTTTCCTTGTTCTGTTCACACAATTACCTCTTGGTCTATGTACAGGTTCCTCATGAGTACAATTAAATTTTCCAGAACACTCATACTTCACAATGTTGTCATAATCCACACAATCAAAAGCCTTTGGATAGCCAATAAAGCATAGGTAAACATCTTTCTGGCATTCTCTGCTTTCAGCCACGATCCATCTAATGTCAGCAATGATATCCCTTGTTCCATGTCCTTTTCTGAATCTGGCTTGAACCTCTGGAAGTTCTATGCCAATGTATGGTTGCATCCGTTTTTGTATTACCTTGAATAAAACATTACTCACATGGGATATCAATGATATTGTCAGATGATTTCCACATTCTGTTGGGTCACCCCTCTTTGGAACAGGCACAAATATGGATCTCTTCCAATCAGTTGGCCAGGTAGCTGTCTTCCAAATTTCTTGGCATACATGAATGAGTGAGTGCCTCTAGTGTCTTTGCCCTTTATTGATTTTGATTTGTATTCAATCAATTCCTGGTTTCTTGTTTCTTGCCAATGCCTTCAATGTACCTTGGATGTCTTCCTTCATAATCATTGGCTCTTGATCATATGCTACCTCTTGAAACCACTGATCATCAACCATTTCCTTTTGGTACAGTGACTCTATGTATTCCCTCCATTTTCTTTTGATGCTTTCTGCATCATTCATTCAAAAATTGGCCCAGACAATCATTCAAAAATGTTCAATAACAAGTTGAGGCTTTAATTTTTTCTTCAGTTTCCTCAGCTTGGGAAATAATGAGCATGTAATTCCCTTAAGGTTTCCTAACTCCAGGTCTTTGCGTATTTCTTTATAATATCTGACTTTTTAATTTCGAGCTGACCTTTGAAATGTTCTGTTCAGCTCTTGTACCTCCTCATTTCTTCCATTTGCTTTAGCATTTATACCCTGGAGAGCAAGTTTCAGAGACTCTCTGACATCCATTTTGATCTTTTCCTTCTCAATGTCCCTTTGTTTTCTTCCTGTATGAGGTTCTTGATGTCATTCCACAACTCTTCTGGTCTTTGGTCTTTAGTGTGTAATGTAACAAATTTGTTCTTCAGATGATCTCTAAATTCACATGAGATCTACTCAAGGTTATATTTTCGATATCATGGATTTGTTTTAATTTTCTTCAGCTTCAGTATGAATTTGCATGTGAGCAATTGATGGTCTGTTGTACAATCTGCCCCTGGCCTTGTTTAGGCTGATGATATAGAGCTTTTCCACTATCTAGTTCCACCGATGTAATCAATTTGATTTCTGTGTATCATATCTGTGTATAGTTGTCTTTTATGCTGTTTAAAAATGGTATTCGAAATGAACAAATCATTGCTCTTACAGAATTCTATCATGCGTTCTCCAGCATCATTTCTATCACCAAGACCA